GCTTGGTTATAGAGTTTTTTCCTGGTGATATAAGAAAGTTATTGATCCCAACAATGTTTAAAAGTAGCTAAAACGTGTGAATTTGGTAATTTTTTGACCAAAAACGTCCTTGTGTAAGTCTATAACTTCATGATATACTTCTATAGTTTTCCTCATATCAAATAAGAAAGTTGTTTAGAGGTAGAGCAATTAAACGTTTCTGTATATAGAGATGTATATTAAAGGTGATTTAACCATGATGCTAATTGATATTGACCAACAAAAACCCGGATTAAGATATTTGAAGGAGCGTTCTTTCTGATTGTGAACACAGTTTTTTAAAATTCGGTTTGATAACAATTGCACAAAGGCTTGAAGTTTGGTAATTTTAAGCTATTTAATCTAAGTACAGAGCCACCGCTTTGTAGTTTAAGTACAGATTGATCTTAGTATTAACTTATCGACAGACAAAGACCGGTTTTAGATAGAGAAAGAATCTCTAATTATTATCTCGAATTATCTCTAATAATAAGAAAGATATCAGCTAAGAAAGTAGATAAAAAATTACGGATACAAGTTTGTTGCTATCGGACAAATGTGGAGGAGGCTGAAAACTAGAATTCGTAAACATAAAACTAAAGAAAATTCCAATATTTTTCAGCACCACATAAAGACTGAACATAATATAAATTATGGAGGAGTTGAGCTTTTTCATTCGTGTAACAAATTATAAAGATAATAATAACTATCTACTTATGAATGAACAAGTTCAACTTTTCCATAAACCCATCTTCGTATAATTTTACAATATACATGTTGCTTAAAAATCGTCAATCTTGCTTTTATCGATGTAATATCGCCCAAATAAGAATTTTGTGTAGAAATTAGATTTTGAGTTAGGTTAATTTACGTTTAAACTAGCGAAAATTTCCCAAATGTCGGATTAGATATGGAGAAGGGTGTGGGTCAAATATAAACACCAGCTATAAAAATAAGAATAACTATTTATAGGAACTCAATCTGTTTTTACAATTGATGACTATTGTTTATTCTGTTCTTAAGGTGGTCCCACACGACTGGTGTAATTGGCAAGTACGCAAATATTTGTGTAAACATTGGCCTTACATTGTTAATTCACGTGTAACATAAAAAATACCTATAACAATGTGAGCTCCCAGACGCTACGCAAGTGTATCCGAGTAGACGAATATATATAGACGGTTCGTTATCGGATGGATACTCATTTGCGATTTCCTCCAGGTCCCGTTGCTCAGCTGGCTTCATAGGGTCGTACTTACATAATCGCAGCTATTCGATAAAATTCCGCCGCCTTATCAAGCTTCTTCGCTGTGCACGATTTGTGGAAAATATACATATCTGGTAAGATTCCCTGGGAGATTACTTTTAGTACGGCCAAATGTTGACATACTACTCTTTGCATGACGCCAGGTGGATTGGATGGATTTGTAACTTTAAATATGCAAAAAAGTTGTCTTTTCGAAACGATACAACCTTACAGCACCTTCCATCTTTTTTGTTTCCGAGTGGAAACGTGCCCATTACACACCCACAAGTACCCATCAATTGCATTTCTACCTTAATCTTTTGAATTTCTCCAAAATAAGGTTTATTATTCTTCTCTTTCAGATTTGACCAAAGGATTTGACGAATATTTCACCCTACGTTATGAACTTTTGATGTTAAAACTTTGTAACTNATTTCTTCCTTTGGGACCTTCTTGGGGGCGATTGCGTAGTTCAATCCTTTGGCGAGCACAGAGGTTTCGTCTTTCGTTTTGCATCGTATGCCTCATCATTTCTAGATACAGCAAGAAAATTATTTCTGCAGCTGTCTGTTTCTCTAGAAACGTGATTTTCTTATAATTCCAGTCGAGTTTGGGTTGAGCAGAATTTCTGTTCAACTTAGTTTGAAGTGCAGTATTCCTTATCACCTACAGCAATGAATAGGGAAAGAAAATTGTTATTGTCACTTTTTATGTTTCTGTAGAAACTATTTTTCTGGTATATTTGCAATATTTAAGTTGGGCAGAAATTCTAATCAACTTTGTTTGAACATCTTATTCCTCATCATCAATAGCAACAAATATAGAAAGAAAATACGTTTGACAGTTTCCATTTGATGGATTGTCGATGCGTTGCAATCAAAGCAACTAACAAATGTTAGATAAGGGTAGTTTTGTTTACAACTAACTAATGTTAAATTCAACAAAACTAGTTTTATGAATAGGGCTAGTTGTTGTGGGAATAATTTTGGAATCAAAATGTAAGATATCTTAATTTCTTAACAGAGTGAGGATGTCCTTCTGCCGAAACTAGTCAGTCACAAAAACTACAATAAAATTTTCAAAATTATTTTAAATTATATAATTTTTTTCAATAAGTACATTTTACAATATTCATCGAATCAATTCCTTGAAAAACAAAAAAAAATCCCACTTTTCTTTCTAACAACTTTCTCATCTTTACCACATATTATATTTGTACTCAAAATCTACCTAAATCAATGTTTTTCTCTCATTCAAAAATCTATATTCATTGCATGATTTTTTTTCTTTTATATAAATATACTTCATCGTTTATTCTCTCTTTCTCTCTCCTAGTTTTTTCTACGTTGTTTTTTTATTGTCTAAAAACTAATAGCTATTAGACTCTTTTTTATTAAAGTAGTGGGTCCCTTTTACTATTATAAAATAAATTTTTGAAAATCTCGCTGGAAATATACCGGATTTGTCACTCGAATGTTGTGTTCTTATTTTTAATTTTCAGGCCGACGAGTCGTACGAGCGGCGGAACCAATCAGAACAACAACGGTGTCGCGCTTCCGGTTGGTTTGGCTGATGATCAAGCGAAAGATTTCGACTTTGAAAAAACCGAAATGAAATATGACAGCACTGGAATGTTCCATTGGGGGCCCGCAAAAAATTTAGAAGACTGTATACTTGTAAGGAAACTGTTTATTTTAAATTTGTGGGTTATTTTCATTTCATTTTTGGTACATATTCGGGAATTGTTTTGATAACAGCTTTATTTTCGATTATTTTTTTATATCTCACCTCATTTTTGTGTCTATTAACGTTAAATTTCGTACTTTTTGATAAATTTGGTTGGAAATTTTTGTTCTGGCTTTTCATCAAAATTGATATAGGATAACCTAAAAATATTTTTCGTATCTGTATCACTCAAAAAAAAAATCGGTTTTTACCTTTTTGCTGTTTATTTTCTTTGATGGAAACAAATTTATTTTGATTTTTAGTCGATTGCGTAAGAGATGGTACAAAACCATTTACGGGTAAAAACTTTTTATTGAAATTTCCATCCTTTTGAAGTACGCAAGATTTTTTTTCGTCCGTTTTTAAAAATGCTTGAATACTAGGAGGCTTTTTTATATTCGAATAATGTCTTACGCCCCAATTTTTAAATAATTTCGATACAGAATTTGCAAATCGTTTCTTTAAATATTGATTTTTTTGCGATTCACGAACCGCCACAACCCATTTTTTCGATTCATCGATTTTATAGATATCCAAAACTGATCTAGGAGCAACTTGAAACTTTTTATCGAAAATTTCTAATAACGGGGGAGCTAATTTAACGGGCAAAATTCTTCGTGAATTTCCTAAATTCTTTAAAAACACTTTTAAAATACTTCTTGTACCCATTTTGATTGACAGCAAAAAAATAATTTATTTCTGTCAATAAAGACAAAGTCTTTTTTATTTTAGGATCGAAATCAAGCTGCAATGACAGTTTTAAATGGTCACGTCGTAGTTTGTCTTTTCGCCGATCCAGATTCACCATTAATCGGTTTAAGAAACCTCGTTATGCCATTGAGAGCCTCAAATTTTCATTACCACGAATTAAAACACGTCGTAATCGTTGGTTCGGTGGATTATATACGAAGAGAGTGGAAAATGTTGCAGAATCTCCCAAAAATCTCAGTTTTAAACGGATCCCCGTTAAGTCGAGCTGATTTACGGGCCGTTAACGTAAATTTATGCGATATGTGTTGTATTTTATCAGCAAAAGTACCTAGTAATGACGATCCAACACTCGCCGATAAAGAAGCTATCTTAGCCTCGTTAAACATTAAAGCAATGACTTTCGATGATACAATTGGCGTTTTAAGTCAAGTGAATGGCGATCAAGATGCTGGAACCCCAGTTGGAAGTCCAATCGTTCTTCAAAGAAGAGGTTCAGTTTACGGCGCTAACGTTCCAATGATAACCGAATTAGTAAACGATAGTAACGTTCAATTCTTGGATCAAGACGATGACGACGATCCCGATACAGAACTTTATTTAACACAACCTTTCGCTTGCGGTACCGCATTTGCCGTTAGCGTATTGGATTCGTTGATGTCTACAACTTATTTTAACCAAAATGCCTTAACTTTAATCCGTTCGTTGATAACAGGTGGAGCGACGCCCGAATTAGAATTAATTTTGGCTGAAGGTGCTGGGTTAAGAGGTGGTTATAGTACCCCAGAAAGTTTAGCTAATCGAGATCGGTGTCGAGTCGGACAAATTTCTTTATACGATGGTCCGTTGGCTCAGTTTGGGGAAACCGGAAAATACGGCGATTTATTCGTAGCCGCTTTAAAACAATTCGGAATGTTATGTATTGGATTGTATCGGTTTCGAGATACAAGTTCATCGTGTGATGCAAGTAGTAAAAGATATGTTATTACGAATCCACCAGATGATTTTCAATTATATCCAACAGATCAGGTAATTTTTTTTCTTATTTTTTTTTTAGACAAATTAAATTAATTACATGTATTGAGATGTATATTTTCGTATTTTTCGTCCTCCATAAATGGCGTCGACTTAAATACAGGCTACTTAAATGCAAGTTTTTATTTTTCAATGATCATTTGATTCTTGCCAGCAATCCTCGACTATGAATGGATTTCGTTAGTCGCTTTTGTCGTAACTCGAAACGTTAATTAATTAATAATTAAGTTTATTGCTACAAAATCAGCATTACATTCCACAAACAATTAAATTTTAACAATACTACAATTACATTTATCACATTACAATACAATACATTTTATTTCCTATCCCACCCCTCCCCATCTCCTCCCCGCATCTCCCTACGCTGCCTTGTCGCCACCACCTCCCTCGTCCATTCTCTTCCCTCTGCCCTCTCCCCCAGCACCTGCTTCCAGCCGATCACCTCCTCTCTTAGCTCGTCACACTCCCTCAGTAGGTGCTCCAACGACTCCCACTCCCCCTCACATAGCCTACAACCCCTCTCATCATCTCTCATCCAATACCTATTCGCTCTCTCCTCATTGCCGCATCTGAATCTTGCCACCATCCTCTTCCCCTCCTCATCCCCCTCCACAGACAGGTACTTCGGCAATCCCTCCGTTATTATTTCCGCGTACTTAGGGTTGTACCTGCTCTCCCTTATCTGCCCCCTTCTTTCTTGCCTCTGTACATCTCTATCCCTGCTCTCCAGCTCTTTCCACATCTCAATCCCTTCCCTCCTTCTATCANAAGCCCAGAAATGTCATTACAATATACGATATCATTCAAATTTGTAAAATAAGGAAGAATATCGCGCTCTCTAGTTCGATAACTTGTTATTGACACGCCAGGATGAAGGCAATGTTTTTCTTTCAGTCTTGACGCAAGAAGTTCTGCTGATTTCTTCGATAAATTTAAATCTCAAATCAAGTCGTTTAGCTCACTCTGAGAAAACCCTTTTCGTGTAGGACTACTTTCTTCGAATTCACTTTCACTGCTATGTTCACTGCTACTGCTAACGTCAAACATTTCAACATCATCATAACAATCGCCGGGTAAAGAAGTAAATTCCGGTATTGGTAAATCTTTACTATGCAACGTTGGTGGCTTAGCTGATTGTTGTACATCTGGGTAAATGCATGAACGCTTTTTATACCGATTCATACTCTTTACATTTACAGCGCAAAAATAGCAGTCATCAAAGTGGTTTCTTGGCTCTCTCCAAGTCATCGGTATTCCAAATGGCAGCCCTTTTCGACCTCCTTGTGTCCAGTATCTGAGTGACTCCACACAAGTTTTACAAACTTTATGCGGAACCCAACATTTATCTTGCTGTCCAAGGTGTTTTCCAAAATATGCCTGATAGGCTTGTTTCACGAAATCGTTTATATTCCTTCGTTGCTTTTCCTGACAATATTTACCACATATATAGCAGAAATGGTCGGGATTATTAACACAGGACTTGCGTGATGATCCACTCATACTTTTTTATTTTCAACAACTACGTCAAGATGACAATAAAAATGACACAAGAATGAGTAAACTACACCGAATAGTGATCAAAAAAGACAATGTTAAAATTTTAAGGCTATTTGATATTTCGAGGGTTTTGTTATTTTAATAAAAATACCAGTTCCACAATTTATACAATGAAAACAAGTTGACGAGGAAAAGAGCAATAAATAAAAAACGCGTATGCGATCCCAGATGTGTAACACTCTGCTATACCACCAATGTTGCTTAGTAAAGATTTACCAATATAGGTGTTNTGCGCGCCTTCCTTGTTGTCCTCTCTAAATCTGTACCCCAAATATGTGTACTCCCTCACCTCCTCTATCTCCTTCCCTTCCCACCTCCAATCTTCGCTCTTCCTTCTACCCCCTTTACAGAACTTCATAACCTTTGTCTTTCCTACATTCACCTCCAGAGCCTTCCCCCTAAAGTAACTCTCCAAACTCCGCATCATCGCCTTCATCTCCTTCGCCTCTCTCGCCACTACCACCAAATCGTCCGCGTAAGCCAGTGAATGCACCTTCCTCCTCCCTACAACCACACCTCCCATCTGCCCACCGGTCAATCTGTCTTCCATGTCTGCGGTATACAAGGCAAACAGAGCGGGACTAAGTGGACATCCCTGCCTCAAACCCCTCGTTGTCCAGAACCTATCCGTTAACTCGTCCCCCACCTTTACCCTAGCTATCGTCTCTGCGTATATCTCCCTCACCCTGTTTATTGTCCCACCAGTAATCCCTCTCCTCCTCATCTCCTCCCATAACTTCCCTCTATTCACCTTATCAAAAGCTGCCTTTAGATCTATGAATAGGGCATAAAGCTTCCCTCCCTTCCCTTCCAGCTCTTTATCCACCAAGTGCTTCAATATGTACACGTTATTCGAAACGTTAATTATACTCTGCCAAGCATTTGAGATTACTGTGACAAGGAGATATATCCAGAAATTTAGTAAAATGACGTGCATTTTTTATGAGACTCTCTATTACATTGTCTTTATGTATCATCCAAGTGGTTCACCAAATCATCTTTGTATATTTTTGTAGTTGGTTTCTTTTATCATATACAGGTGTCTCAGCGAGACCGGTCATTAGACGTTTCTGGGGTTCTGGCGAAAATAAAAATTTGAGAATTCAGACTTAAGTATTATTAATTACGATCTCTTCGACTACAATATTTTCAGATTTCTTACACTTCCGGTTATACCGGAAGTCGCCACCTACTTTATTTTTTTAAATGGAACACCCTGTATATTTTTACATATTTAGATTTGTCTGTTTTCAAGGTTTACTTTACTTTTTGCAATTTGATTCGGCCGTTCTCGAGTTATTCGAATTTTTCTAGAAAAATCTGCTCCAGCGGACATTTATTCAAAAAATCAGAGAACACTCGATTTTTGGGATATCACTTTAGGATTCAGAACATGCTTAAGCAACATGATGAATAAATAAATCCACTTTTTAGTTTCTGCTGTATTTTAATATATTCAAGTATAAACGATTAAATCTTTACATGCCATGACCGTTAACTCGCGTCTTCGCCATGACACCCGCTTCGTTATGTGCGCAATGTGCACCATTTTCAATTCTACCAACCCAACAGTACTCAAAACTTAAAAATATTAATGTTACTAACTCAACAATATAAAAACTGTATGATAATATTAATAAAATTTCCTGAAAAACGGTACTAAAGAAAACACTGTCAAATTTGCAAAAACAAAATAACGTCAAATTTTCAAAAAATCATATCATCTCTATTTTTAATGGTAATGATATGATGTATATGTTAAATTAAAGCTTGAATACTCTAGTTTATGATATGATAGAAAAACTATATGATAAGATTAATAAAATTTCCTGAAAAACGGTACTAAAGAAAACACTGTCAAATTTGCAAAAACAAAATAACGTCAAATTTTCAAAAAATCATATCATCTCTATTTTTAATGGTAATGATATGATGTATATGTTAAATTA